ATCATGTACTACATGAACATTTTGACAATGAGTTTTGAAATGAATTTTGAGGACTAACTATATTTTAAAATAGTTTTACTAAACCGGGAGATGCGAGAGTAGGCCAGTTGTCACTCCGGTTAAGTGTGACCCTTGTGCACAAGTGAGCACTAGGTATAGAATCTTTGCGTTGCCGACGGGCTGTTAGACATGGCTGAGGTCAGGGTCTATGATTTTACGTGGCTAGGCCACAAGTTGTTATACGCAGTTGCGATCGCCTGATTTCTCTGATGTCGGTCAATATCGTTAGAGACTACCATGGCATGTAGGGATCTGGTGGAGCAGAGCTCCCGGATGTTATTACGTGTTAAGTGGGTCCACGTGCTTGCATTTCTATACCTACTCGAGAGTGATATCTCTTTGGGTTTTATTCACATAAGTAATTTTCTCATGGTGAAAAGTAATAGTTTTTCTGTTGCTCCCTTGCTTATATGATAAATTCGATTTAATTCCCTGTATAAAGGGTGATTTATGAAATTTACGTGTAAACTTTATGAAATGTTAGATTTTTACATGATCATGCATGATAACATTTAATTACTTTGAACCCTATATTAAATAATTATTTAGTATAAATTCACTTATTTGCATATAAGGCACAAAATTTCCCTTTTGAGTAAATTGTTTACATATACTCTTATATTTTTTAAAATTTTCAAATCTTCTGCCTTTAACTTATTTTCCATCTACGCCCTACTCACGGAGTCGATGATCACTGAGTCTGTGAGACTCACCCCTTCATATTTTCTTTTGCAGATAAGTAATCAATTCTAGAGTTTTGCTCAGCATCGTGGGGCTAGCTACAATCTAGGTAATGGCATCTCTAGACTTCTACTCCGGGTAGCTCTCCTGCCTAGAGGTCGATTTGTATGTCAAATAGTCTGACTTGTAAGAATCAATAGTCACTGAAAGTGAAATGGCTAGAGTTTAAGGTTATGTAATAATGACTACATATTATGATGAGTTGTATGGAGTTATCAAACCTAGATGTTTGTATCAAATGGCTATGTTTTAAATATTGTGAATATTTGGTTTGAACAACTTATAGTGTTAATATTTTAAGTGGAGCTTAAGTTGTTTAGAGATTTAATTAAAGCTTGTTTGGGATTTGACAAGTTCACTCGCAAGTCTCGAACGTTAGTAACGATCGAGGGAAGAGGTCGTTACAGACTTGGTATCAGAGCCTAGATTTAGTTGAGTCTTAGAAATTCTTGTGTCAAGCAACGAAGTAGTAGGGTCAACGTAGAGTCGTACTTATAGTTAGTGACTGCAGCACCGATTATAGGCAAGAGGCT